CTGATTGCTAAAATGTACATACGAGTCCGTCAGTAAAAACGTGTTGCAAGCCTGAAATTTTATCAAGGAGAAAGGGGAGACTGGCTTTCTTACTGTACTATTTGTCAATAGAAAAGTGCATTACACTCAGTCAGCTTTGGTAAAGACTTCAAATATTATCCTTAGTTTTACTGATGCCTGGAGAAGAATTTTAACAATCCATTTATATTTGGTAAAATGAAGACTTGAGTACCTTCAGTGACCAATTCAGAACGCTTCTTTCAGAAAGTTATTTTTATGATAGCAGAAATAGTGGTAGTAACAGCATTCATGCTCTGAATGCGAGGGGTTGCAAAGTAACGTAAGACACGCAGGCAATAATCGTTGCTGCCCCAAAGGCCAGCCTACCTGATGCACCAATGGGCGAGGTAGCTGGGGTCATGCTGTGGACATTGAGGCCGAGGCTATGGGATGGCCCTGGGGTCGGAGCTGCTGCAGGTGGCCCAGGTGGGGTCTCTCTCTGCGGCGATGTGAGCGGGGTGCTGGGCTGGGACGATGGTCCCCCTGCCAGCCGGGCAAGGCGCCTTCGACGGATCTGCACAAAGGATATCAAACAAACAGAAAAATTCATTTGCACATACATACACACGCACTCCATAGTGTGCTGCTGGGTCTCCTAATGGCACAGTATCTCCTCCTGCAACACTGCAAATACAGAAGATTGCTTGAAAACCTACCATCTGCAGCTCTCTTATTGCCATTTCTCTGTTCTGCACAATACTTGATGCTTATTTATTAAGTATGTAATTGCTGCCTTGGAAAACTCATTTGCACTGGAGAATTGTGTCCATCCCTGTAACAGTTGTGTAAAACAAGTCTAACATTTACCATTCAGCAGTTTCAAAATCTCTAACACACCTTCTGATTTATTGTGGCATTTGATGAAACAAACCATGTTAATCTAAAAGGAACATGACCTTTACCTTCATTTCACACCACATAACACTAATAACAAAATTCTGCTTAAAAAGATCCAACTGAACTTTATTAAGAGAAGATTGTATGCAATACTATCTGAAACAGCTCTGCAGCATTAGAAATCTACCTGTCACCTGCTGGCAGGAGCATCTCAAGAGGCAAATGAAGACAGTCAATAGCAACGTGCCATTACCTGGAGCAGTCTGACCAAATGGAGTTTTGGAAAATCAGTTTTCATGTTACTAATAGGGCAGTGCAGTATTTGCTTTTCGAAAACTGTTATGGACCTATTTATTAAAACTCGTTTGTGATCGCATAATGCTAATATAAGATAAAGCTCACAAAACTCGTATTTGAGAACCATGAAACTTGAAGCAAAAAATAAAAAATATAGAAAAAATTATCCATAATTACAGGCTGCCTCAGAGAATCTGATACAAAAGCTCCTGATACAAAGAAAACAAGCACGGAGTAAAGGTGGATGTCCACTCCCCACACAAGTTCATGTTATTCCCTACTGGTATTGAGATCCCCAAGCATTGGTGTAATTCCTCAGTTTGCACTTCTGCTCACAATCCTGTAGAATTGCTGGGGAAATTAAAGAGTGAAGAAAAATCTGTGTCAAGTCCATGTCTACATGACATTGCTGCAGTCACATAACGGTCTGTGAAAACTACTCCAAGAGAAGGAAGAGCAGATCAAATGAAATCAGACATCAGATTTGGAACTATATGAGGAGAGAGAGGCATCAAGAAATGTATACATCTATTCTCAAACACGGTCAAACCTTGATGACTCAATCGAGGCCACATGCCTCACAGAGTATGATTTGCATAGATGCTCTCTGCATCAAGCAGGTAAGTGGGCTCTTTTGTGCCACCCCATACTTCTTCACCTACAGCAGCAGGCAACACCAACACCAGAGCCACGTCACAACCAGCTGCGGTCGATATTATTCAAACAGGAGGTCACTCGTTTCAGCCCTAGTCCATTAAGCACTGACCTTTCATACAGACCAATGCTCAGGACTGTAACCTGCCCTGAAGGAATTTCTGAGGAAGGGAACATAATGAAGAAACCTGCCTGGATACTGGGATGTTTTTAGATAAAATTCTGCAATTCAAACCAACTCCAGAATTTCCCTACCCACTTAAGAATGACAAATCATCAATCGACTCCAAGTATACTGAAAGAGACAGGTTTCTCAAAGGTGAGTGATAAAGAACTGAGTTTGGCTGCTCTGATGCCCCGAGTCATCATACTCCTCTAGGTTTACAGAAAATTTTCAAGGAAAGTTGAAATTTGATCTGAAAATTTGAGACTTACGGGGAAAAAGGGCAAAGAAACGACAACACTATGCCAGAAAGGCAAAGCCACAGGCTGAAATGGAAGCGTGCAAATACAGCATGGAACTGATGCACACCTTCTGTCCGGTTCATTCACTTGTGCCTGGACACTGCGTGGGCCAGGATGTGGGCAGTGCAATGGGGACAGCACAGTGCTACAGGCCTCATGCTGGACCTGCAGGACGCAGTGTTTGCACAGTGCTGGGCTGCAGCCCGCTGCCTCCACGTAGCACAAAGAGTGTGACAGAGCTGCGGGAGTTCAAAGTCAAAACAACCTGGCTTCACTTCAGATTGCATGACTAACCACACCGCCACGGTGTAACACGTGGGGCTTTTTTATATTTATTATTTTATTAGGAGCATTTAGGATACCCTCAACAATGCCTAACCCTTGATTTCAGCAGCACTGCTTGCAACAGCAACCTATGACAAGCGCTGTGTCACTACATTGCCCAACAGCAACAAGTTATTTGGTACCAATTACTACATCAGCACTGTTTGTTCCATAACCTACCTTCCCTCCATCATAATACACAGTTTAAAAGCTTAATGGAAAAAAAAATATCTAATTGGCTGAATGAAAAAGGCATCGTGTTATTAATTAGTACAGTTCTTGCTGGATATATTTGGTCTTGGGACAGTAACTTTCAGAAATACATTTTTGATCTTAAGGGGCTTCCAAAAAGCTGTTAGCTGGACATGTTGCGACAACCAATGTAAAAATAGCAGCCTGTTAAAGGCAGCTGATAACTGAAGCACACAGCAGGGCTGTAAGCATACAGGCAGGACTGCTCCCTTGGTCTCAAGCACCTCACCTCAGATTTATACATAATTTCACAGCCAACATCTGTTTTAGTAGAAACTTCTTCATGAGCTTCTAAAGAAAATGTTTCTACTTCTGCAGCCAGAGAAGAAATCCCACCTTTGTACAATGAAGTGTAATTGGAATTCTTTGCAGCTTGTAATTTGTATTCTTACAGCATGTTAACCAAGCTTAAGGCATGCTTCATTTCCTGGGGATGTTGCTCATGCTCCATAGGCACACAGCACAACTCCAAGCTACTGAACACCAAGTTCACCTCATTCTGTCCCACTTCATGCCGTACTTGGCTTAACTTTGCTTTTTCCTACACAGTTCCCAATTCTCACAATATTATCAAGCACTTGCACTAAAATTCACACCAAAAAGAGGATTTTTGCTTCTCCCAGATCCCCGATGGTTTTGGTATGGGCTGTAACAAAAGACAAGTTTCACAGAATCACAGAAACACCAAGGTTGGAAAAGACCTACAAGATCATCCAGTCCGACCACCACCTATCACCAACAGTTCTCACTAAACCATATCCCTCAACACAACATCCAAACGTTCCTTGAACACCTCCAGGGTCGGTGACTCCACCACCTCCCTTTGGTGCTTTAACAATGTAAACACAGAGAAAACTTCAGTGAGACACAGCAGGGGGAAACATCTGAAGTTAACACGCATTCTCCATCACAACGCCAGTCATCGACTGCATTCATCTCTCTGGGAGCTAAGATTACCAGCACATTTAATGCAGTCGAATATAAGGAGATAACCTCACCTACAGGAGCTCGGCAGCTAATTTCGAGTTTGGCTACTGCCAGATAAGGGGTTTTCAGACAGAACTCGCACGCGATGTAAGACAGAAACACCTCAGGCAGCGGTACAGCCTAAATGCAACCTGGGCTGCAGCGCATTGAGAACAGCAAAGCAGAGGCGCGAAGGAGTCCTCAGACAGACAGACAGACTGACTGACTGACAGACTCCAGCTCTTCCATGGCGATAAGAAACGACCGCGCGATTGCCAAGCAGGCCCGGTCAGAGCAGCGATCGGCCATGAAGCGCCTCAGGACCGCAACCAAGCGATGGTGAGGAAACAAAACGGCACCAGGCTGCGCACGGTCCGCACCTCGCTCCTCTGACAAAGCGGTTATTTTAAGCGTTTCGCTACGGATAAAATAAAAAAGATTTGATCATCGTTTTGGAAAACACACCCGGGAGGCGCACGGAGCGCCGGCGCTCAGCACAAAGCTGCGCTCCGAACGAAGCGCCGACGCGAGCAGCCGGGACAGCAGCACCGCCCGGCCCCGCGCCCCGGCGCTCCGCCTCACCTCGTCCGCGCTCAGCTCCTCCATCGCCTTCCTCTTAATGGTGACCGCGGAGGGAGGGCGGGCGCTTTCCTCCGCCCCGCCGACGGGCAGCTCCGCGGAGCGCTCTGCGGCCGCCTCCGCGCCTCACAAGGGCATCGCCGGGGCGGCCTCGCCTCGCCTCGCCTCGCCTCGCCCGCCGGCAGCCGACCGCCGCTCCGCCGCCGCCGCCCCCGGCCCGCCGCCCGCCCGCGCCTCGGTTCCCGCCGCGCCCCGCGAGGAGCCGCCCGCCGCGCCCCGCGCGCCCGCTCGCGCCCCTCGGCCTCAGCTCCCGCCCGCCCGCGCCGCGGCCGTTGCCCCGCGCAGAGATTATTCATCAAAACAAGAGGGCGGCAGCGGCGGCCATCTTGGGGGTGGGTCACATGAGGCCTCCGAGGGAGCCGGGCATGCCGGGCCGCGCGCGGCGGCGGCCAATGGGGAAGGGCGGGAGGCGGCGCGAGGCGCGTGGGAGGGGCGGGGCTCGCGGCGGCGCGGCGTGGCGCGGCGGGAGGGGCGGGGCCTGGGGGCGCCATGGCAACGGGGGCGGCCGTAAGGGCGGGAAGCCGTGAGGGCGGGAAGCCGTGAGGGGGTCGCTTACCGCCCGTCTGGAGGCGGGTGTGCAGTGTGCCAGCTGTCGTGCTGCTGGGTGGGTCTGTGCGTGCCTGCCCGCTTCTCTTCAAAGGCACTGTGGGCTTTACCTCATCGTTTACCAAGGAGGGATGGAGCCCGCTGTCGTACTCCTGCCCGGCTCCTTTGAACCTGAGGTATTTTGTTTTCTTTCTGTGGAACAGCACAAGCTTTTCTGCATCGTGTCTTTTCGTTATGTCTCGAAGTGATACTTTTGTGTAAAGTATTCTTTTCTTTCTCTTCCTTTTTCTTTCCTCTAGGGGTGGCCACTGCCGTTGAATATTACCCACTATTGTGTGTCTTAGAAGTTAACATTTAGGTATACACTTCTGAGTAAAACTCAGCAACCTTGATGGTGTTTGTGCTTGTGCTCCTTACACCTCCATATGCCACCTGTGTGACTTTTCTTCCACAGGTATTTAGAAGAAGCATTCTATGGAGTGTGAATCTCAACTATTCTTTTGAATCTCTACTGTCTGTTGAGGCTGTGATGTCCAGTAGCACACAGCCATTCACCCATCTGCTCTGTGCAGAGAATGCATCTTAAAGTCACGTCCTCAGCATTGGCACTGCCTGCAAAGTGCAACAGATGGTTGCTGGAAGGGTTTCACCATCAAAGCTGTGGTGAGATAATGGAGCTGAAACACCTTGGAATAAAACCCAGTGCCTCCCTGGTGAGTTCTGTTCCCGTCCTTCAGTTCTGGAGCTGTGGGGATCCTGGTTTAGTTTCTTGGCAAGAGTTACCTTACTTTCTCCTTTCTTTCCCAGTTATAGAACGCAGGACTGTTCCCTCATTTCTTTCACTTGGCATTTCAATATGATTAATTTGTATTTTTTAAGAGTGTGTGAATTTAGTTAATTTATTGTGAGCAGTTCTGTCACTGGCTGCTTGTCTCTTTTCCTCAGCAACTACAGATCATCCTCCAGTGAGCTGGGCGTAGCATTGCCTGTTTTCATATTATCCATTTGAAGTAGAAGGTAGCAATATAAAAAAAGGAATATAATTGATAGCAACTTTTCTACATTTTTAATAGTAAAGCCTTCTCTATAGTGGCCTTACTACCAAAGTGTAGCATTCGTAGTCATGTGAGCTTCTAAGATTACATTTCTCTGACTTCCACTTGTCTCTCTTTGTACTAACAGACTTCTTAAGGCTGTCACCACCTCTTGGTGCTTCTCATACACAAATGATTGGAATACATGATTTTAAACTGTGCGACTTGAACACATCTGCAATATTTAACACTTCAAGTGTTGCTGTTGGGTATCACTACAGTTTAAATGAAAATGCATTCTGTTGCAGTGGTGCCACCTGATGGGGTAGCAAAGTCTGTGACTGCTGTGATATGTTGGTGGTAGAGGTGACAAAGCATGTTTGCTGTATGAAAGTGTTATTTATATTAAGTTCTATGGTATCGTAAATCCCGTTTCCAACCAAATAGAAGCAGCACTCAGTTCTAAAGTGAATGCACCATTGGAATTCAGAAAATATATTCAATGTTTTACTACCCGTCCTCCAAATGTCCCTGTCCTGACTCCTAAGATGTACTAGGACTTCCTTTCATGTTTTGGAAGCCACATTTAGAGTCCTCTGGTAGTTATCTGGGATATTGATCTAATTAAAAGTTCTCACAGCTTCAACAGAGATGACAGTGAGGAAGAGATACTTAAATAATGAGTTTTACTACTTATCTCTGAAAGCGTTGAGGATAAGTTGAGTTCCTGTGAAAAACAGAATCCTAATTAAATCTGTCTGAAGCTCAGTAATTTAGATTAAACTTCAGCAACAGGACCTGTGTGCTGTTAGTGTTACCCAGGAGATGTAGCAGTTCATTTCACATGTGTAACGAGTTGATCTGGCCAGTTATTTACATGAGTTAATTATTATTTCTTGTTTCTGACCTTGTGAATTGTTGCATAGAAAAGTATGTTAGCAAATGGAACAAATGCATGCAAATAAGCCTCATCAGGAGCAGCATTATTTTTACTTGTGCTGATAGTAGCAAATTATTTCATGGACAGAAACTTATGTGATTGCTCAGACCTATCTTTGTTATTGGGGGATATGGTCACTGACTGACTTCCTCTGGTAAGTTGAACTTCATTGTTTGGAAAACAAAGCAAGACTTCACATTACTCACTTAAGAGTTAGTGGGAGCAGTTAACTGCCCCTGAAGTACCAGTGTGTATCTTAAGGAGAGAAGCATTTTAAATAGTGAAGTTGCATCCTTGGTTGGAGTCTTAACTTTTTACCATTCCTAGAGTTACACAAGTTTAAGCTGTCCTTCCTGATTTGTTTGATCTTGCCGTGCCCTTATAGAAGGGGGAATGGTTCTTGTTTCGATCTGGGTGACTAGTTAACCACAAAGCACCTTATCGCTTACAATTTGGGTTTTTTTTTCCCTTCTCCAAAACACACAGAAGACAGGTACTTCAGATGTTTTGTGGTGTTTATTAGCAAAAGTCAGATCTTTAACACTGCTAACAACCAATAGTATTTCCTGAGACAGAAACAGATTATTTATTTAGAAAGAAACCAGGTTTTGTATTTCCAGTTATCACTGGACACAAGAACGCATGGCCTCCTGCATATAGCTGTCTTTCCATGTTGGAACCAATGCTGATATTTAAGCTCTCTTGAATACTTGCTTACATATTTGATTCTCACAGCGAAGCTCCTACAAAAACAAACAAACAAAAAAACATATATAGTAACCAAAGGAACTGTCTCCAAAGGAGAAGACAGAATATTTTGCTGTGCCCACTGACCATCACTGAGCTGTTAAGTTATGCTTAACCTTCTGCATTTGCCTGTGCAAGATGAATAAGAATGAAACAGTAAAACTATATTGTGGGTTGAACTTGATGATCTCTACAGTTCCTTTTCAATTCTGTGATTCAGCTAAACTAGCTGAAAGCACAATGTGTTCTTCATGTACTATTCCATGTATTATTGAGGTGGAAGACGGCTTGCACATCATGACTACAATACAGGTTGCATTTTTTGTCACCTAGAGACAGTTCTGAAGTAAATTAAATACCAAATGGAGGTCATCTCCTTCGAGCCAGTGAGTCCAGCCCCTGTTCTTCTTCTCCCCAGCCTGGACACAGATAAGTTTGTCATCGTCCCAGGTAACCAGGCTCTGTTAAAAAGAAAACCGAGGATTTGTTTGTGTTACCTCAGTTCTGAAATGTCTAGTAGACAGTATCCTTTCTTCCTTGATAAAATGTACCTAAATTAAATACTGCTACTGAGGGAATGTGAAACTTTTAATCACTAACTTGGGCTCTTGCATCTATACTGTGTTAAAAATAGTATTATTGAAACAATTTCACTCCAGATAGCAAGGCTAACTACAGCATCTTCCTTCTGTAAGAACACATTGATTTTTGAATTATTCAGTCTTACCTTGCATTTTCTGTTATCCAGGCCTTTATTGTCTTCCTCAAACTCTTCACCAATTTTAAATTGGAGCATATAGTCTCTGAATGTGCTTGTGGTATGGATGGAAAATGAATCGCCATCCTGTTTGATCACTTTCTGAGGCTTCAGCATTTTTGCTATCTTGCGTGTTGCAAAGTCAATGCCTTTGACAGAAGAAAAAAGCCAGTGAGAGTTGTACTGCTCACCAGGTGTTCTGACAGCTGGGATTTACCTATATTGCTTCCAGAAGCATTTCTGAAGGATGGTTTGACTTACTGCTATGCAAATTTAGTTTTATTCTTGTTTTTATTTTCCACTCCCCCAGAGGTGTTATGTTACACAGTTAAGGAAGGGGGAGAAAATCATCAATATCTAGGTTTTAGAAGAATTCAAACAATTAAAATGCAAGAAGCCCTCAAAGGGAAGAGAGAAGAATAGGATTAGGTCTTTTCACCTACCTAAAGCTGTCATGTAGCCTTCAAAGTTGTCATTACTGACAAGGTTCCAGGTTCCACTGAAATCCACAGGCATTGCTCGGCTGTGGAAAGGAGTTACAGTCAACCCCTGTCCAAAAGCAGAAATTAAGAAACAGATTTCCAACCAGGCCTTATATGAGAGACTGTGGGTGGGATTGTGTCTGAGAGCACTGATGGTGGAGGGGAGGGGTACTGCTGCTGAGCCAATAGGAAAGGGAATATTTGTAGATGAGCTTTGCCTGGGTTGGAGGGAAAAGTTCACAGTTTCCGAAATCTTTGTATGGAGCAAATGTTATTAACTCAAGAGTCACAGCACAAACCAAAAACTGATTTAAACAGTTTCTGTCTATCTTGTATCTTTTAAAAGATATCATGAACACAACTTGTTCCTAAGATTCCCTGTGTTTATATTTATAAACCCTCAGACTGATTTGAAATCTAGATATTTTTTGAAAAGGAGATCTACCCATGGAGCTGTATCAGTAATTCTTAAAGCTATACTTCAGAGAAATAGAAGTAAGCAATATATCTCATTGGTTTGTGTCTGCAGTGAGTAGTGGGCAGCATTGGTGTCTAGCAGCTATAACAGAAAAGTGAAAGGCAAATCTCATTTACATATTATTCTCTGATGTGACCTTCAACATAACTCTGCTGTGCCACAGTTTAGCTGTTGGTGTTCTGACTTCTTTATTTCTGTTACTTATGTTCTAGCTGAACCAAGACCAGACTCATGGGCAATGTGCAGAGTGAATGCAAAATTCTGTTTTCTCAGATACTTTACCAGATAGGAAGTTTATGTAACAACTAAGGTTGAAATGACAGATCTAGAGGTCTGAAGTCTATTCACAGTTCTACAGCTGTATCTGTGAGCTTTCTAGAGGAGAGTTGCATTTCTTCAACCTGAAGAAAAGGATCTGAGGAGGTGATATAGCATCCTTCCAGAACTGAAAGGGGAGCCTACAAGAGAGCTTGTGAGAGACTTTTTACAAGGGCATGTAGTTGTAGGACAAAGGGTAATAGCTTTAGGCTAGAAGAAGGTAAATTTTGATTAAATATGAGGAAGGTATAGTGAATTTTCTTCATTGTGGGGTGTTGAAGCACTGCGATGTGCTGCCCAGAGAAGCCATGGATTCCCTGTCCCCAGAAATACTTGAGGCGGGGTTGGATGTGGCTCTGAGCAGCCTGAACTAGTTGGATGTGTCCCTGCCCATGGTAGGGGGGGTTGGAAGTAGATTCCCTTTAAGGCTCCTTCTAAACTGAATGATTGTTTTTTTCACAAAAAGAGAATTTGCTGTTTTGAGTCTGAATGAAAACTCATAGCTGCTACTTTTATCTATTCAGGGTAGTCTGAGTAAAAGGATTATATTTTGCAAGGAAGATTGTTTCACTGAACTTTAGCTACATTTTTAGAGCAGAGTTTGACCTGTATGACTCTCAGAATCATGTGGGTAGGAAATGAAGACGTCAAAGCTTCTTTCCTGTTTGCAGATGGATATTGTTCTCCAACATATACTTAATTAGGACTGGCAAAGAGGAATGCAAATGAATGCTCTTCCTGGACTCAGAGAGTAACATTTCACCTACAACTTGTTACTACGAAGTTGTGATACTTGAAGAGCACTGTTGTGTGCTACTGTCTCTTCCAAGAAAAGAGAAATCAGTACTAGGATAAATCCTCTGTAGAAATTTGGATTAAAGTTGTAGTTGAAAACTAAGACTCTGCAGATTGCCAGGATGTAATGTTTCTTTCTGTAAATTTGTAGTGTAGAACTTCAGACTAAGACTTATTGAGGGTCCTAGCATTCCTATTTGAAGGCTAATCCAAGAAACTGGCTGTGGAGCTTTTTGTAAGAGCTACCTACTGTCCTGTGATGGTTCAGTTATCCTTCCCTTACAAATTCTCCTATTTTTTTATGTCAAGACTCTTATTTTCCATTTTTATCTTAATTGCTGTGCAGCACTGAGCATCTAACGCAATCCCGAAGCAGATGAAGTGCTCCTATTGCTGTTGTAGTGTTTGTGAAATAATTCAATCTGAATTACATGTGTGATATAAGAGCCCTCTTCTCTTACTACAGCAGAACCAAATGCAATAATATTAAAAAAAAAAAAAAAACTAAAACAAGAAAGAAGGCAATTTATTTTACAGAACGTCTATGAATACATTATAACTTCTATAAAGAAGTTCAATGAAATACATTATTCACAAACTTTATATTTTGAAGAATATAGATTCTCTCTAGGTAAAGTCCTCTCTTGGAAGTTTTACTTCTTTTTCACTTTGGAATATGATGCTTCAGTAACTATGATGCTGCTATTCAGAACTGATTAGAACAGTAAATTCTCTCTGTGTTTACTTCCAGTGTTGTAACGGAGGTTTCTGGATCTCACTGGTAAAACAAAAGATCTATATTCATTGCAATTTCTGAACAACGTTCTGTTCTGTATGGAAAAAACTCTATTGACAATGTTCTTCCCACTTAAAAGTCATGCAATCAACAGACATCAGATGTGATTAATGACTAAAACTAGCATATTGCATGCAATTTATTTTATCGAAAAACCCATCATGTGTAACTACATGAAAATGTGGTGAAATAGAAGTGTCTGATAGTGCTTCATGAAGCATTAAATATTATTATTACTTTTAAATATGCCGTTTCTCTAGAATTGACCAAAGTACACCCATACACACCAGTGTCATTACTTAGAGTAAACCTAAAGCACATTTTTATGCTGAAAAGTGACCACATAAATAGGGTGCCTTCCCACTCAATAGATCTGCTCTGTTTATTCAGAAAGTTGAGTAATTAATTACATTTTGTTCTTTGATCTTATCTGCCACAGAGACAGCAGACAAAAAAGAAATACAGATCTTATTCTTTCCCATGCACCATCAATAATATAGTTTAAATTCAATCTTCAGTGGCATTTTGATTGCTGAAGCATGACAGAGGTGCTTAACATGTCCTTCAGTACCATTACTACCATTGATTATGTACAAACTCAGCCTCCTTATCAAAAGACAAGGTAAGCTTGCCTAAGCTCCAGGGGAATGAGCACATTTAATGCAGGAATCATCCAGGGGGGGAAAAAAAAGAAATCCTTGGAGCTACTTTATGTCACAATACAATTACAGATGACCTGCTTAGTTCTGATTCGGTTTTGATCTCCTTGTGTGTTCTCTGTAATGGTCACTTATGCAGGCTGAGTCTAGAAGAACAGGGGTTCTGCTCTGTCGTAATTGCAGAATATTATGTGAGGCTCCAGGTGTGCATCCCTGATCCTAGCTCCACTGCAGTCTACAGCTCTTCCCACTGAAGTGTTGACTCCTTCTATAGGAGCCCTGCACACCTCAGAATCTCTCATTCTCTTGGCTTTGTGAATCTGAAAAATGCAAACAGACTTGTTGTGCAGAGGTACTGTGAGAAAACTGCTGACCTGTTAGCATCTTGGAAACCTTGACGCTTCTAGTAAGGCACATCATCTCAAGAAAAAATGGGATGGCAGCAAAGAAAGGGAGGTACAATTCAATTGCCATGGCATTCATAGTGTCTTTCTAGTTTATACTGATATAATAGAGACAATATTTTGTTAGATTCTAAATCAGGTTTCCAGCAAAGAAAACCATTTTGCTTATATATGTTCCCAGCATCCAACTATTTCTTCTCATTCCAGTAGAAGCAAACAGTTCTGTCTCCCTATATTTGGCTTAAAAGTAAAGGGTCGGTTATTGGAAATAAAAGGAGAATGGTATGAGAATCTGCAATGATGCTATTATTAACTTATATCCATTAAATCAATGGCTATAAACCAGTTTTTGAAGTAGGTCTATCCTCATTTGAGAAACACTGCTGAACTTAATCTAGAGCTCTGGAAATGTGAATGAAAAACTAAAGCATGAGGCATTTGGGGTGCAAATTGCATGACAGGCTTCATATTTGAAAGGCAAGTGACCGAAAGCATGGTATAGCTAGCACCCAGCAGTAACTTCTTCCTTCCACAGGATGCAGACAAATAATTTAAGTTGCATCATGTGTTAGCTGTTTTTAAAAATTAATTATTGCAGATTTACTCTCAGAAGTGGTGTATTTTAAAGTAAGATGGCTTTGCTACTTATAACACTGAATTATGTGTTCCTGTTTCATAAATAGCAGTCAGAGTAGCCTGAGCTAAATTAGAACACTTTCATTTGCTTTGTTCATAATTGTAATTCTCATACACTATGGTAAATTCTTGTATTTAGTTCACTGAACTGTAACAGTATGTCCAGATGTGAAAATCTTATTATTGGATTTTATAAAATACAGATTATATAGGCCCCCATGTTAAACAAACCAAACCTTGTCAGCAGCTGCACATCTTCTAAAGCCACAGAATTTGCTTGCTATTGACAAAAAAAAAAAAAACACATCTTTGTATACTGGATTATTATCTTTTCAGACCAGAAAGCAAATTATCTGTAAAGTGCCTGCTAGTTCTTAGAATCACTTGCATTTTTCTGTAAAGGAGCCAAGGTAACCCCAGCATTCCTGTCTTCACTCTCTGGACTATACAGATCATTTTTTTCTATGTATGCCCGCACCACATCAGGCACCAGGTAACGAATGCTCTGGCCTCTCCGCAGTGCTCTCCTTATTTTGGTGGAGGAAATGTCATTTGTGATCCATTCTTCCACGAGATGAATGTTGTTCTTATATTTCCACAAAATATCAGATTCGTAGATGAATTTCTGAGTGCTGTTTCCAGCCCTACTGATGCATACAAGGCCATAATTTTGTATAATTTCAGTGATGTCCTCCAACTTCCACAGATTGGGGATCGCAAAGGATTCCAGCACGTCACTTCCACAAAGCAGTTTAACCTGAGGGACATCTTAAGGAAAGAGAAATAAGTAAGAAACAGGGTGTGCTTTAGGCAGCCAGATTGTAGCTAATGTGATGGGGACACTTGATATCTAGGTTACCTCTCTTGTCTTGGTTAAGATGAGACAATGGAATGAAATTTAAAAAAAAAAAAGATTCAGAGCATATAACTTACAGTTAGTACCTTTTAATATATAGTTTCTCTGAGCAGAAAAAAAAAAAGCCCATAAAATGACCCTGTACCCAGATGCATCCTGAATTTTGGGGCTTACTATTTTCTTTTCTTTCTTGAATCATTTATAGTTTATGTTCCAAAATTCTAGGCTGTAGTTGGAGTATAGCAAAGTTGTATAGGAGAAATGGATAGCTCTGACTTTTTCCAACTGAAATTTCTATTAACTTGAATATTTTTTTGTCTGATATATTTTACTCTTACAGTCTTCTTGTTACAAATCCTACTACTGTGTGATATGGGATCTTGATGAATAACTTTCTTCAGTGAAACCAGCAACAAGAACTAGCATGGAAAGAAAAGTTACTCATCTGCACAGTTTCTTTGAAATAGCAACTTCTGTTAAGCATTTAGTTTGCAAACAGACTTAACTTTTTCCATCTGGACTCTGATTTTTCTTCTTAATGGGGTCATGCCTGTTTGGTTCTTGTTTCCTTTTCCGACCTGGCTTTGTTAAAGGTAAAGCATTCTGCAGACTAATGGTAGCATCAGGAGATGAAAGCTTTTCATGATGGTGCCTGCAAAACAGAGGTATTTTATATATAGAAGAATATGGGGAAGAGTATTCTAAATAGAGCCTAGTAAATGACCTTTCACCACTTCCTGTTATAGTACCTCTGCAGAAAACCCATCCAAGAAGGGAGCTGCTGAAAGAGGGAATTGTGAGAACTGGCTTGTAAGATGGTGCAAGTGTAAAGGTGTCAAAGCAATGACTGCAGGCTTTATTTAAACTGAAGTTCATTTTAAGAAGAACCTCAGTGAAAGAGTAAAAAAGTAAAATGTAAGTAAATACATCACTATAAGTGATCCTAATGCTAGCCTTTACATATACAAATGGGCAGTGTAACACAAACTCAAGTGAGAGAAATTTGCATAGCTTATGTACACCCTATTCTAGTCTCTTTTCTTTCCTCAGGAATATAGTTTCAGCACAAAAACTGAATTGATGCTAAGAAAATACATACAAATTGTTCATGGGCTCATTTTGGGTATCTTTTGGACTAATGGTACAATTCTTTGTTTACAATGTCTGAGTAATACTTCTTACTTCAGTGAGTCTATTCAATATGGTTTGGGGTTAGCCTGCTATCATTCTAACTTCTAGAGCTAATGCCATTCCTTATCCTTCTATTGGTTCTTAATATTTTTAGAATTTGCAGAAAAGTACCTTAAAACTTTCACTGTTTCCAACCACTCACTCTGGCTGCTTTCCCAGTCATCAACTTCCACCCAATCTGAGTTGTTGGTGGCTAATTTTGCCATAGTTACTCGGTGATCAGCACTGATCAGACCCTTCTTCTTATATGCATCACCTACTGGTGAAATTATTCCTTTGATTACTTTGTATTTTCCTGTTGGGAGAAAAAAAAACCCACATCATCCCATCACACAAGAACACAGAAAGTGGTTGAGCAGATGTTACTTCCAGAGTATTGTATGTAAATCATTACACACCCGCTATTCACTGTAGTCTCTCAGAACACCAGTGGCAGGTCCTATAAGCAGCCCAGTGGAAAAGTGCTGTATATTTCTGCCACTGTATGAGGTGGCACAATTAAATATTTAATAAGAAATTTTGGAAATATATATTGTGCCTTTCTAATTTCAGAAAGAAAAATCATAGAACCTGTGCCTTAGCTCATTTAGCTCATTACACTTAGTAAAAGGCAGCAAACGCATGAGAATGTTCATTCATGTATTTAGCCTACAGCATTTAGTAGTTGTGATATAAACTCAGAAGCTTCAATACTTAATTAGTTTTCCAAAAATAGCTGCATAAGTATCTCAATAGAGAGCTATTTTAAATGATATAAATTACCATCCTACCTGTCTCATGGAGATAGTCTTTAGCCAGCTCAAATAGCCTCAGATGCATGTTGGTAATGGGATTGAAGGACCCACAGGCCAGCAACACTACTTCTGTCTTCCTGTCGGGATCTTCCGTGGCCATTCCTTGTGGCTACAGAGCCAAATGCAGGACGTTGGTTCTAGTTACCAGCCTGGTTACTACAAGAAGAAGATTACAAAGTAGTTATTTCTACTCATGTGAAGATGATTTAAAGATCATATTGAGGACTCTGTTTTCCTTCTGTTAGCATCTGGTCTGATTGCTCATGTGATACCACATTACCTACACACCAACAGATGTCCACCTTTCTTTTTGGCAATTCCTGAGTAGAATGATGTGACAATGGTGACTTCACGTTGCAGAAAGAATTCTTCTGTTGCAGTTCAGAAGTAAAGAATACTGACAAAAATGAGTGTGCTAGGAGGAAAACATAAGTAATAGATGTGTGAAGCTGAATTTGCCTTGTATGTTATCTTAGCAGTTGTGTCCCTCCTACATGCAAGAGGAGGGGGCATTTTGGGGAAGCTCAGTGACAATGGATAGTTCACAAAAAATAGCAAACAAACAAATGAAGAGAGATCATTAAAGCCCTCAACCCCAGGGCAAGCAAATGAAAACTGGAATATATTATGGGCTGCCCTCCTGCTGTTGCTGTTTGTGAGATGTTTGAGGCATCTGTGTTGAGTGCTGAATAATCTGCTGTCATTTTACAGTAATATCAATGCCTGGAAAAATCCCAAGGTCAGCCTCACATTCAGCCTCCTTTACAAAGAGACAGATGCTCACTGCCCCCACAGTGTTGAGATCTCATCACAGCTAAATCTTCAAACAACTTCTGTCTCCTAACTTCAAATAGCCCTTGAACAGAAGGAATTCTTGCAAGGTATGTTATGAGGTACATTTTGCAAGTTTTAGGACTTCTCTATCCCTTCAGGAGTTTCACAAACTTTTAAAATATCCTTTATTGCTGCAGAGCAGTTCAGTGTTTGTAGGGCTCAGTGTAAGTAGGAATAGTCTAGCATCAGCTACAAGAATTACCATGGGAACAGGCAAGGGAAGGAGCTGAACTTGTCTTTGTAGTGCAGAAAGGTCCCCCTTTCTAAAGAAAGTGACTCCTGCAAACTGGAAAAGGACTGATTTTCTGTTTTGTTTTGTTTTTAAAGAGAGCAAGGGCAAAAATAATGGAAGATTTTATGATGGAAATGCATTGTGCCTTTTCTGGTGTTATCTGATGTCCTTTTTCATTCTTTTTCACATCCTTAGAAGCACATAGTGCTACAAGGTGACTGTATGTGAATTAATAGCTGTGTGTCTGCACTGATTATAGGAATGTAACCACTTGCACATACTGTTTCCTCATCTGCACTGGCACGCTGTTGAAGACTATTTGCACAGAAAGCAGCCATGTGGTTGTTGTGGAGAACAGAGCAGAGGACAGAGGTATTGCTGTGACTCCCACTGCTGCTTTGTCATGCTTACAACCTGCACAGCACCATTGCAGCTGGGATCTGCTCTGCACAAAGTGACCTTGGTACAGCTCTGACTTTGGGAAGAGCTCTCTATGCACATGCTATGGCAAAATGAACAGCTGGGTGTAAGACTGCTGGCGATATTCCCTCGTGCCAAATATTCAATGTTGGTGTCTCTCTGTAGAAATTCAAGAAGAAACAAAGCACAACCACTGTCAGTCCATTTTTCAGTAAGCGTAGGACAACCTGGATTGTGTTCCCTTCTCCATAAGGAGGAAAAGATGTTCTGTGACGCACATGATCCCGTCCTTACATGTTTATATATAGGCCCACCATGCTCATACGGGATGCCACTGCTAATAGCTGTGCTGCTCACAGCCGTGACAGTACTTAACTGCACCGCGCTGCAACCCAGCAGGCCGTGCCAACGGCAGATCTTGGCCCAGCTCTGAAACCCGTCCATCCAAGGATGAGCAGGTAGCGGTGAGCACGCGTTGGCCGATTTTTGTATTTTAGAGGCAAACGTTCATTTATTAAGCACGTTTACATACTTACAGAATATCTGTCTCCGTTTGCGTTAACTTTTTACTAGGCACGCCAGCTGCGGCTCCGTCTCCGCAGTCTCCTCCCACGACAGCGGAGGCTGCCAAAGCGCGGCCCCGGCTCAGCCCCCCCGGTCCGGCCTCACCCCGCCAGCCCCGCGCCCTCGGGCCGCACCGCGCCGCGCTCCGATTGGCCGGGCGCGCCGGAAGCCGCTCCGCCGCGGCGCCTTTCCCCGCGGTCCCGGCAGCGCCGGCCTGACCCAGGTGAGGCTGCGGGGCCGGCGGTGTGCGGTGGGGCGGGCCGAGCTTGAGGGCCGCGTGCTGGGCCGGTGCTACCTCACCTCCGGCACCGGCGGAGCGTTGAGGGGAAGGCGAGCCGCAGACGGGCCTTGGGCGGCGAGAGGCGGGCTGTGCTTCTGTTCCGTCCGTTCGTGTCTCCTCCCCCAGCCCTTCCGTTATCTCGGCCGTGCCGTGACAGCGGAAGGATCGTGTTTCCTCGTGTGGTTTGCGCGAGCCGCTGGTGCTAAGCGAAGGACCGGGCTGGAAGCGAGGCGTTGCCGAGCGTGCCGTTTGGGTCGTCTGCTGCGGCCTATTGAACAACCAAGGAAGCAGGATTTTCCCCTAGAGTGCTCTAGTTTTCTACGGCTGACGATTTTATTTAAGGTGTTTGCGCGCTTCAGAAAGCTCAGTCTGGGTTGTTGTTTCTTGAATGGTTCCCTGAGGGGCAGTTGAAAAGAAGATGAGGAGGTTGAATAGTACTTCTGGGGTGTGAAGTGACGGCCTCAGGTTGTACCAGGGGAGGTTTAATGACACCAGGAAGGATAAGGGTGGTTAGGTGCTGGTGCTGGCTGCCCAGGGCAGTGCAGAGTCACACACCACAGAGGTTTTGAAGAGATGTATGGACAGCAGGCTTAGGGGTATGGATTCCTGGTGGATGGAGTAGTATCAGATTGGTGGTTGGACGTGATGATCTTAAGGGTCTTCTCCAATCTGAATGGTTTAGTAAGAGCCTGTTGTTGTGTATAAAGGACATGAGGATATCAGTATTTGGTGATTGGTTTCACAGATGTTTCCATGTGCTATGGCTGTTGGAGTTATTATCTGGAGTATGACTTTTTCTACAAAAAAAATAACCAAACAAACCAACAGCCTAACATTTCTTTATTTCCATTGCTAGTTTCTCAAAGTGCTTTTACTAGATATTACATCACTGAGGTATTATATGTTGATACTGGAATCATTTTAAAACCTATCTCAAGCTGTTGATCCATAGCAATAAAATATTGTTTTTTTCTAGGATTGTTATGTAACAACTTAAAATTTTCATATGAAACTTGAAAATGGCTTCAAGAGGAACAACAGAGACCAGTAAATTGAAACAAAACTTGGAGGAGCAGTTGGACAGGCTAATGCAGCAGCTTCAAGATCTGGAGGAATGCAGGTAATAATAGTGGATGCTTTCCTCTTAAATGGGAATGTTTTTCTGAATTTGTTGGCAGATGAGAACTGTACCTTTCATAAGTCTAGCATTTGGTTTGTGTTTTGTAGTGACTCTATTTTTCTAATTATAATAAGGTGTTAGGTAGTAAAAGCGACTTTAACAAATCTTTTTATTAAGGTCATTCTGTTGCCTGGTGGAAAAGCATCGTACCAAACTATGAAGAAAATCAACTGTTCCAGCTGAAACCAGGACACTGGGCAAAGATAATCATTAATATTTTCTTCGAAATGTTGTATTTCAGTGGGATTTTTTAACTTGTATGCTTTTTTAATAGCATTTAATTACTTTTGTGTCCATGTTGCTTTGTCTTACAATTACAGATGCTTTGATTGTGAATTTTTATGGATGAGGAAGTGTGCTTCATGGTGCATCCTCATGTCCTCGTCTCCATGTTACAACTCAAATCTAATTCTATGAATTAACATGTCTTGTTGGATCCTCTTTAGAGAGGAGCTAGATGCAGATGAGTATGAGGAGACCAAGAAAGAAACTCTAGAACAGCTGAGTGAGATCAATGACTCACTGAAGAAGATTATGTCTGGAGATATGACGTTGGTGGATGAGCTCAGCGGCATGCAACTGGTGAGTCTGATTCTCATTCAGATCTGCCTACCTTGTGTGTTACCTAAAACTAGGCTGAATTCTGTCTGGACTCAGTGAAACAGTAGATATAGATGGTCTTCTGTAATATCTAGACAGGCATATGGGAAACCTACTATTGGAGAGGAAAAAACGTGGGAAACAGCAAGGCCTGGGTATTAGAAAACATATTTAATAATATAAAAGATGTGAAGGAAAATACAGGACTGTATGTGGAGAGTTCGTGCCTATTTGCTAAGGGTGAAGATAACATTTCTTGTGTTCGTGTTACTGGTTTGTATTTCAGAGATTGATCCAAGTCCAAATGCAAAGGCTGTAGAAGAGAGTCTAATTTAAATTCCTTAGTGATCTTTTTTATTCTGACTTGCAAACTTCTGATCCATTTTGTCTTTTCAAGTGTTTAATGAAAGCATGATTCGTTTCTTCTGAGCCAGATGTTTTAAGTTTTTGTTTCCAGAGCCATCATGATTTGTCCAAACATGTTGTGAGATTTAATATAATAGCTCTGATATTCCTTAGAGGAGTTTGAATGGCAGCAGGAGATTGGCACCATCAATTATGTTCTGCTTACCCTTGGAAGAACTGTAGTCATCAGTGTGGGCATTAAAACTGCTAAAGATAGCGTAGCACATCCACTTGTGTTATGCTAATGTCAGGAAGATGTTGGGAATTTAATTAAGACCTAGATTCTAATTATAAGTTTCATATCCTTTTCTTGGAATGATTGCACCAATTAGTGAATTTTTTTTAAAGCCTGCACAAATGTTTTGGTTTTTTTCATCTCAGTTCTATGGTTATACACACAAAGAAAAGCTCTCTTATCAAATGATTCAGAGGATATTAATGATGCTTTCCAGCCTTCATTAATCTTCTCATGCAGCTATAGATTATGATTGCTATTAGTTCTGGTCATTTTTCTTCTTTTCCTTACAGGCAATACAGGCAGCCATCAGCCAAGCATTTAAAACTCCTGAAGTTATTAGAATGTTTGCAAAGAAACAACCAAGGCAATTGAGGACAAGGTTGGCAGAGGTGACTGCTTCTGTTTTACTGTAAAAGCTATTCATTTGAACTAGATGCTTCAATTTGTAATGTTTACAAGAAGAGATTGGAGTTATTGGGAAGCTTAAAGTATTTTGACTATTTTTCCCCTTGGTGTACAGATGGACCGAGACCTAATGGTCGGGAAGTTGGGACGAGACCTGTACACACAACAGAAAGTTGAAATCCTGACTGCCCTCAGGAAGCTCGGTGAGAAGGTAAAGTGTTGGTTTGATAGCTAGCTGGTGAATAGATGTTTATATACTGCAGATTGATTTTAAAGAACTAAAATAAGAAATTATAACTTTTTTAATGATCGTCAAGCGTGGCAGTAACCATCCTGAAGCACTTGCTACTAAACATATGTCAAATAGTATCATACATTTATATGAGACAAATTTAAGAAGCTGTCATTGTCAGGCCATGTGAGCTGATCACATAGAAGCTGGTGCAAGGTGCCAATACATAAGGAAGCTGCAAGTTGTTATTAGCTAACTACCACCTATCAACCTGGGAGGAGCTATCTAAGACTCCTGACATGCTTTAAGCTCTAACTTAATTCTGTATTATTGATAATACCTATTTCTTGGTGTAAGATAAATAACTGAGAAATAGGTGGTAAACCTTGTATTCCCCCAGTAAGCACATCGGTGTGCAGAACAATCCCAGGTTGTTTTTCTTTTCTTGATTTTTTTTTTTTTTTTTTTCTTTTACCACTAGAGGGAGGAAGAGAAGTTGTTTCTTGTTGAAGGTATATGAAGGAAATGGGTTGCTGGTATCTCTGTTATATTTTCCTAGTTAGGACATGTAATGGAAAAGATCAAGGGAGTACATTAGCATATGTTTTCACTATGAATATTTTTTTTGCTAGACTGTCAGAGTAAAAAAAAATAATTTGGCAATAATTAGAAAGGCTAACTAAAACTGCTTCCAAAAATATATGAAGATATCTAAGCCTCCTGTTATGAGTTCCTTGGGTCACCTCACACAAGCCTCTTTGTTATGCTTTGACACTCTCTTTATCTCTTAAAATGGTCAGTAGCCTACTTCACAGAGGTCTGCCTATAATAACAGTTCTGTTCTGAAAGTTTAAAAGAAAATAGTTGGTAGATACATGTTTATCCACACATTGTAGTAGTTAGATGCTTGCTTACAAAACATAGCTAAGGTAGGAAACTAATACTTTTTCTCTAGTTCTAATCTGGTGGTCTACTGTGGCCTCTATTCTTAAGTATGAAACGGATATAAACACTGTGAATGGCTTTACATGTTGAATTCTGCTCTAATTTAGTAAGAATATTTATCTGAGGCTATTCAAATGAGCAAATTTTAACATAGAATATCTGCACCTTCCAGATGTAGATTATTGCTTCATTATTATAAATATTTTATGGGCATCTGTCACCAAGACATCAGAGCATAAACATAAAAGCAGAATCTACATGTGTAAATGTCACTGATGGTTCACAGCACTGTAAGGAAGAGACCATTTTCTAGGTCATTGACTGTTAATGTGGTCAAAGCTGGCAGTGGCTGTTTTTGCTCTCGCTGGTAAGTGTTACAAAGCACATTAAGATCTTAACTCATTACTGTATGGACAACGTGACAAAAAAAGTAATTAACAGCCTTTGCATAGTTGTGGTACAGAGGTGCAGGGTGACTATTTAATCAAAAATGATTGCTGGAGGTCCTGAGACTTAGTGGTCTCACAAGCCCTTGTGAGGCTGACAGTGATGAGGAAGAAATTCAGTGGTAGGGACAGTAGCTTGCATTTTTACTTTGGCTTTTACTATTAGATGAAGCTGCAAATTGATAGACCCTGTAAGCTGTTGTATTTCATATTTATAGATGGTGGGAATATGCACAGGTAAGATAGCAAGTTCACAGTTATGGCCTTTCTTTCATTTAGCTGACACAAGAGGATGAAAGCTTCTTGTCAGCAAATGCAGGTTCAGCCCTGAGCCAGTTTGAGAAAGTCTCCTCTGACCTCGGTAAGTTTTCATTCTCATAAATCCTGACTGCATTGCCCCTTTGAACAGCAACAGATATAAATGCCAGTGATTCTCTATGAAAAGGAAAATACAAGCAAAAGATTGATGCCAGTTATTTCTGACGTACATTTTTCTATTTTATTAACAATGAAATTGTGATACACTGTCAGTGAGGGAACAGCTATGCAGCAAATAAACCAAGTGACAACTGGCCATAGAATGCTGAATGTTTCCCTAATGCTGAAGGCTTAAATGCTCTCTCTCAAGCAGACAATATCGCTCTCAGAGTTAAACAATACTTTTAATTACTCTTCAGGAGAGCCTTTTTCTCTACTTGATGCAGAGAATTCTGTAGTTACTGGCACACTGTCAAAAAGTAGTTTAAAGCACTCTTGTTGCTGTGATTGTCATAACTCTAATCATGTTGACAAGACCAAAAGTTCATTTACATTGTACATTAAATAAGCATGGCAGTTCATTCTATTAGTACAGTTAGAGTTGTGATGAAAGAACTATAACTGGCAGGAATGTGCCAGAGTAGGTCAGGGTACAAATCAACTGGTTTTCTGACCTAACTCTCAGTACTCTTCTTTCTGAGAGTGAAGGCAAGGTGGGAATCCCTTTGTTCAAAAGGGTACTTCATTAGAAGCTCTCTACATAGCTAGTTTCAGACCTGTCAAAATCAGCATGTCTCCTTTTTTTTTTTTTTCTTTAAACGAGCTCAAGTGTTCTAGTTTTCAAAATGTAGGTTTGATTTCTTTTGATCTTGGATGTTTTGCTTTATTTGTTTATAAGGAAATTCTCTAAAATACAATTTCTACTAATACTAATAAAAATGTTTTTTTCCTCTCAAAGGATCAGGAGACAAAGTCTTCGCTCTAGCAAACTTTGAAGTAGAGAAGGCAAAGCAATGAAGAGGTGTGTGAGACTTGAGTCTCTCCTGTTGTCAGCAAAATTGGACTTTGGTCATATTGTAATAGGTTTTTTTTTTTCTATTTTTAAGATGTTTCAAAAAACTAACAACCCATCAACAAACCTTAAGCCTCTTGGGTTCTTAACCAGAAGATATGAAGTAAGCAGCCTTAAAGTGCACTTTGTAACATTGGTGTCTGTGTACCCCTCAGTAACATAAGTTCTGAGGTTAAACACTAAATGGTACTCTGAAAACAAAGCCTTCTTATGACTGTCTTTGAAAAGAATCAGCTATTTTCAACTTTTCTGAATGTGTATTTCTCTGACTATTAAAACATTCTCTTTTTGCATATTGTTGTAGCAGGCAATCTTTTTCAGGAACAGTCCTAAAGAATAAGTTGATTATTGTAATTGCTCTCAAACTCTTCAATTTTGTTCAGGCTCCCTACTAAATATTTTACACTAGGAATTTGCATATTTTAAAATTTGATGTGGTTTATTTGAAACGCCATCTTTCTACAAACTGTTTGCAGAAGAACCAAAATGAGACTGTATGCTGATGGTTGGCCCTTGTCTACTTGTTTGCTGTGCACATGAATGAGTACCATTGTGTCCCAGCCGTGATTGACAAACAATGGAAGCCCTGTGGGGAGACTTCTGGAGTAATTTAACCTCGTGTATTGAAATGACAGGGCATTGCTAGGAAATGGCAATGAGAAAGCTCTTTCTGTTGACCTCTTACTTGAGCTCTGGGTATAGAGCTGCATGCTACCGTTATTTCCCAGGATTTCTGAGGTAGCACAGAATAGCAACGAAGTAGAAACAAGTTTTAAAAAAAAAAAAAAGGGAGAAAGGTCTCATTACATAATTGGTGCAAGTGTAGCTGTCTAATTATCAGGTGGTGCTGCGGTGCAGAGGAGAAGGTCACTGCTTCCACAGGGAGGTTAGAATCCTGAATCATTTCAGAGCATAGGAGGATTTAAAATCTGGTCATGTTTTTAGCTCTGATTGTGGAGAATACTACTTGGGACTTTAGATCTGTGTTTGATTTTTTGAGACACTATGTTTCATATTTCTTTGTAAAATCAGTATGAAATGTCTTTTTCTTGCTGTACCAGCACCTTCACATTGTCATTCCATACTTGTTAGTACTGAATTAGTTGAGCTCACTGGAAGTCTCAGATTTTTTAGGTTTTGTAGTTTGCATTTCAAGTTTGCTTTACCCTTGGCATACATTCAGGTACTGATCTAATTATATCAGGAAAAACAACAAGATGTTTCTTAATTGAATTTCATACTTGTTCTCTTTCTTATTCTACCCTACCACTAGCTAGAGAAAAGGATATAGATGGGATCTATGGGGATGAAGGTGGCCTGCTGTTCTGAGGAATCCTGTAGTTAATATAGTGGAATTACTGTGTGAGTATCTCAGGCTTTTCTGCAAGCCCCTGAGCCTCAGTGAGAGCTGCCATTAAACCAAGTGGAATGAATAAAGTCTTAAATTTCAATGGCCCACTGCAATGTTAATGTCTGTCACTGAGAATAAATGGGTAACATGAACTATAAACAGAAAATTAACATGATCAGTCTTAATTTAGATGGCATTTACAGGGAATAAGTACACTGTAAATAAGTTTGTCTAACTGTAATTTAGGACCTGGAGAAAAGTAAACCCGAAAATGGGAGTTTTAGAATACTTTTGCTAAAAGAGATAACATTTTGAAATCTAGTCTTTCAGAAGTGAAAGAATACACAGTATGGGCTGCATAATTTGCCTCTTGAACTAATGGATTCTTTCTCATTTCTATTTTTTAAGAAACTTTTGTTTAGATGGGGGTCTTTTGTGCATTATTTCAGAATTGTTTTCCTGTCTGGGGCAGCATTATCTTCTCTGACAAAGGCTGACTGCAGCTTTATAGCTGAGAACAGCTTATTAAAGGCGTTATTAGACAGTCTAAAGTTATTAAAAACAAAACAGTCCACAGGGACTATAGCTGCCTTCTTTTTTTCCTGCTCATTACTGGTGCTAAGTAACTCTTTTCCTTCTCCCAAACTGCTTGCAGCATTAGCATGTAAATGAAATCTCTCAGCAATCCCCTAGATCACAATAAGTTTACTGTACAATTAAATGGAAATCTTTCCTTGCAGTTTTAGGGAGGTGTACATTTCTAGACAAAACTTTTAAAATTGATTTGCAAACACTTCAGCTTTTTTTTTTTCTTTCAAACTTCCCTTACTGCAGGCAGTTGTAGAGTTATCATTAAACTGATCTTTGACTCAGTATCATCTAATGTTGTGCTGCTTCTCCTCTTGAAAATATCCCTTGTGATTTAGGTGGGCAAAGATGAAGCAGAGGAAAGACCAAGAGTACTGAAAGGTTCAGTTTACCCAGTCAACTTCCCTTCCAGAAAGCACAGCTCTAACCCAGAGGCTGGTTATTTCCTGTGGGATGTTTTGGCTACAAATGTAATTTAATCAGGAAGGTGTTGCCAGTATGAAGCTATTTATATGTTGGCCCTAGCAGATAGTTCTTTAAGGTAACCTGCTTGAAGTGGTTAAATGAATTTCAGAGGTGTAGAAAAGTAATTGGTGTGCTATGCTGAAGATACAGCCAAATAATCCTGAGATGTACCTCCATCAGTGTATCCGATGTTTCTCCAGGGGCTGGAAAAAAAAAGTGTTCTATTTATTATAATAAATCATTTGCTCAAATAAAAATTGGTAACAAAAGAAAAGCTTCTAGATGGAAGTGTGATTTTTGTGGTTTAACGTACAGGCTTGTGATGTTTGAGTTCCATCCTTGTTCCAGCATTAGACCCAGGCAGATCACTTATTCTCTATGCATCTTTTCCTCCTAGAATAAAATACAGATTATGATACTTGACAATCAAGTGCTGTGAAGCTGTCATTGATCGTACATTACTTTGAAGATTAAAAGTGCTTTGTTTTTTGTTTATCATTTTACTTCTGAAATAAAAATTTTGAAGTTCAGTAGCTTTAAACACATTCAGCAAAGTTGCCCAGAGTTCTTTTGGGCTGTGTATAACATCCTTTTTTTCATCTTCTTTCTCTATAGGGTGAATCTTGAGGTTGTACTGAGCTTAACAAAAAAAAAAAAAGAAAAAAAAAGAAAAAAGTGTTAGAGAGCAAACTGAAGCTTCAAATGATCTGTTTTTGTCTCCTTGTACTCCTTCCTTCTTTGATCTTAAATGGAGAAGTAACTAGTTACCTTTGTCTTAAGAAATCTTGTATTTTTCCTTTAAGAAATCCCTCATTAGTTTATCAGGTTACCTTCCCTGTTAAAATTAAGTTCATTTTGATAGACAATTCCCCATTAATGATGTGACGTTTGTATTAATTACACCCTACCAGGCATTGAAGGTTATATCATCAGTAGCAGAAATGGAAACCAAATTAAAACATATCTTTTTTTTTTTTTTTTTTTTTGTATACAGGCCATACTGGAAAAGGACAGATAGAGGTTTTACATTGTGAACATCTGAAAGTCAGCCTGCAGGCACCTTTTAGTTTCCCTACTGCAGCTGTTTTTTAAATCATGTTTCCCAAGTTCAGATAAGTCTTTTCTATTAGAGTAAACTCTTTTGTCAGTTTGCTCTGCTTAGCTATGCATGAGAGAAGTGTAGAAGTGCTCCTACCAGTGTTTTGCTGCAGGATTTGTGGAACACGTGCCACCTTGCCTTGTTGTCCAAAGTTCTGTTGTGTTTTCACACCAGAGGGAGGGTTAGTGGATGTTGGCCAGGTTTTCTCACCCACAGTTTCTAAATATCCAAGTTTCTCACTTCAGTCACATGGGAGCTGCTGGTGGTTGGAGCATCTGAGGAGGAAGGCCTGAAGTGTCTGTCAGTACGTGTTCAGAATAAGTAATGTTTCAGAATAAATAAATCTCTCTGAAATGAGGTCTTACAAGACAATATGAAGACAAAAGGTTAGTGGATGTAAATATACACATAGTATTGCTGTATCATGCACTGAAATGTCTGCTGTAGTTCAACACACTTTAATGTGTTGGATAGATGTTAACAATAGGTATATTTACAGATTTCCTTTTAAAATCAAATTCTGATCATGGCTGTTTCTTTCTTGTCATAATAGTTTGCTGCTTGGTAATGTTTAAGATTATTTTTTCAGCATGCCTCCAAAAATGGGTCAGTAATAATCACAGATGTATTGAAAACCCTCAGGCAGAGCCACCTGCAAAATCCAGTGCAACAAAGTGTTAATGTCTGGGTAAAAATCTTTTATTTATTCAGTTGATATCCTTGTAAGAGGGAGCCTGAAATTAAGCTCTGTAATGTTATCATATAAAAATGTACTTTGCAACTTTGTAAATACCAAGTATAATGGAGAAATAGTTCTGGTCTGGAATAAAGCATAGAGCTGAGAAGGTTTTGCACTGTACAAATGAAACCTGGATTAACAAGAAGATTCAAGTTCTAGCCTCTTTGGTTTTTTTCTTTTTTACATTAAGGGGCTTTTTTGTTCATGCCTTTAAAATCTGTGATTGTGCCTCCTTGAACATTAAATATGGCAATTCAGGCAGTTGAACTAAGTATTTAATTACCTGGGATGCCATGGGAATTTCAACCTACTGCTGTGGACCTCCTTCTACCTCTATAGAGTGCCATGTGTGAAAAAATATGAGTGGTGGAGCTGCTTCAGGAACTGCCAAACTGTTTCCACATCAGGATGATTTGGACAAACAGGAATTGTCAGCGTAAGTCTGAAGCAAAAGAAGAAAAAATTTCAAATTAAAAACAATTCCCTCGTTTGGTACCATACACATCTTTGAGAGCAATGCAGTTTTCCTTACTGTTGCATGGTTAAGTCAGATGAATAATGAAAGCAAGGTTTGTGTTGTACAGATGCTGCTGCAGGGCCTTAATGAGAAGAGAGATGCCAACAAATGCGGAGGAACTTGGAGGCTGGAAGCAGCTGTACTGTGAAGGAATCCTAAATGAATTTCAGAGCTGATTAAGAGAATTGGAGATCAGAGAAAGAGTGAGTAGAAAGCATTTTTCCTAACACAAGCAGAGATTCAAGGGAGGAGGTTTTGTGAAGTTGTGGCTTATTAGAACTAACATCAGCCTCATTAAATAGAGAAAGTGATTAGAAGATATTGAAAAGTCCAATTAATCTGTTAGATTTTCATGACGTAATATCCAACAGTTGTACAATACAAGGAAAACTGAGCCTTCAGATAAGTATTCTTTGTAACCCTGCTGATGAGCTGTTTTGTTCCCAGCAAGTGGGGTTGGAGCATCTGAGGAGGAAGGCCTGAAGTGTCTGTCAGTACGTGTTCAGAGTAAGTAATGTTTCAGAATAAATAAATCTCTCTAAAATGAGGTCTTACAAGACAAAATGGTTAAGACAATGCAGTGCACTTGCATCTTCTGTGTATTTTATGAAGATCCATGTATTCCCAGGGAACATGAAGGCCAGGGTGGACCAGACTGAGCAACCTGATTTAGCTTTAGATGTCCCTGTTCATTGCAGGGAAGTAGGACTAGATGATTTTTAAAGGTCTCTTCCAAATGGAACAATTCTATGAACAGTGTTCTACTAAATCTTTTTCAGAGCTAGGAGGTCAGAGGCCTCTGGAGCATTCATCGTGTCCTTTGACAGTAAAAGTGACTGTAAAATGACAAGATGTGACCTTTCTTGAAAGCAGAACTTGCAATAAGCTTATTGGTAGCAAAAGAGGGTGAGTCAGAAGCTGATCTAAAGTCAGTTGTTTTAAGAAAGCAAAATTCTTAAAGGGTAGAGGGAGCTAAATAGCATCTCCATCTGCAAAAATTAATGCAATATGTTCCACTAATGCCTTATGAGATTGCATTATGCTGTTGTACAGTTGGCCAGCTAAACTAAAATTAAACTAGGATAGGAAAGCCAGACAGCACTTTGTTGTGAAATTGTTTTGTCCATGATGCTAACAGGAAGAAAACTGATGGTACAGCAAAGATACAGATGATGGCTTAATCGTATGCTGCCATAAGATGCTCTTGGAAATTTCCCTCAGACTCGTGTACTGTGCTAATTAACGGTAATCCAACTGGAGGATCCCAGAGCGATGCTTCTGCATATTTTTTCAGCTTATGCTGGTGCTCCTGTGTTCTTTCCTTAAATAATTAATTATCATTACTGCCTGCTGTGCTGTGGGTATGTGCTAGTGATCTCAGATCCCAGCGTATTTGCACCATTTCTGTTCCTGTCAGCAGCTTGGGTTTGCTCTTTGCATAGGCTTTCATGTTAAGACCTTCATTAACTGGCAGTGGGGTATGGATTTCAGTGGCATCGAGCTTTGATGTCATTAAGTAGCAAGCTGTTAAAGGAAGTGCCACCTATTTCATTGCTGTGACTGTTTTCATGCAATTAAGTTAAATACCAAGCAGAAAACAGACACCTTTTAGTAAATAACACTTGGATAAAAAGGCTTTGTGTGCTTGCTGTCCTCACTGGTGGGGATTAGAAGGAAGCAGCATTGCTGTTCAGCTCAGCAGCGAATGGAAATGCAGCCGGGTGACAGAACAGAGCCACATTCGTGGTTTGTCTTTAGTTATTCCTATTTCCTCCCTGGTCACTGTGCTTTTACTCTGCTTCGGTCTGTGTGAGGGAAGGGTTACTTTGCCAAGACTTAAGATAGGGCCTCCGGTAGTGCTGGAACAAGCAGGTGGGTGTTTGTCCTAGCTGGAGGGTCTTGGAAGATAGCAGGTTCTGCATTTGCTGGATAAGCTTGAGTTTGAATTTTGCAGTGTCTTTACAGTCTTAGTGGAGCACTCTAGGAAAGCGGCCACTCACCTGGCTTAACGTGAACGCGATTTGTCTGATACGGCACAACCGGAGCGGTGCCCCTCAGCCCTGCCGCGCTGCCCGGGACAGCTAGAGGGAAGGAGGGAGCTCGCGGGGACGGCTTCAAAGGACGCTCCTCCAGGTGAGCGCCCAGCCGCAGCGGTACATACAGCTGCGGAAGACCCCGCCCCTTTCCGCCAGGCCCCGCCCCCCTTTTCCTTCTGACCACGCCCCCGTTTCAGCTCCGCCCCTTCCAGCCTGGCCCCGCCCCTTCCTCCCGGCCGACTCTCGGGTGGTGCCTGCGGCGCCGCCGCTGCCCTGGGCGCGGGGACGCGGCGGGTCCCTCCCCCGGAGCCGCCCAGGCGCCTCCCTCCGTCCCTCCCTGCCTCGTCGGGCCGCCGCGGTGAGTCACGACGGAGGAGGCGGCCGCTCCTCTCCGCTCCGCACGGCTCCGCTCGCCCGCGCCCACCGCCGCCCGCACCGCAGCACCGCCGGGGCCGGCCCGGCCCCGCACGCAGGTGAGCGCGGCCGCCCTTTGTGCGCGGCGCCCGGCCGGGAACAAAGGCTCTCGCCCGGGCCGCCCGCCGCCCCAGGCCTCCGCGCCGGCTCCCGAGCCCCCTCCTGTCCCCGGCCCGGTGCGGGGCCGCAGCCCCGGGGCTCCCCGCACCCCCGGGCCCGGCCACGGCCACGGCCACCTGCGGAGCGGGCGGGCGCTGCGAGGCCGTGGCCCCGGCGCACAGGTACGGGAGGTGCCCTGCTCGTTTTCTGGCATCATCCCTTACGTCATGTGGCACCCTGGCTCAGGGCGGCTGGGTCCCAGCGCAGAAATGGCTGCGTGAAGCAATTCCCTCATCAGCGTGTGGTCGGGGCGGTGGGACCGCCGGTGTCACCTCCGTGGGGCTCCTGCAGCCTTCCGTGCCTGACCGTCACCTCGGGGCCAGCACCCGCTGCTGTGTGCGTTGGATGGTGGACTTCCGTGGGTAATCTGCCATGCCTCCAAGCTGTGTGCCTGCTCAGGGTCTTCTAGAGCATCTGAAGCAGCACTCTAACTTTCTACTGGGCGTAAAGATGGGCAGTATCTGCAAGCTGGCCGTAGCTCTATCTTGGAAAGATGCATGAGCAGCATCAGTTTCTAAATCAGAATGCAATTGCATGCTAGAAAGCAGACAGCGGATGAGAGTTTCTGCATAACATGCAGATGCCCTTCATCAGGGTATGTTTGACTTGTAGGCTGCTGTTTGTTTTTTCTCCCCTCAAGAGGAGGATGTTTTGTTCTGCTGTATATCATCTTTTATTTGACCATTCCTCATCTTGGTACATTTAACAAAGTAAGCTTTGATGCTCTGTGGGATGAGAGGAAGACATTCTGCAGATGCGATGGTTAATAAAAGCCACCAGGCCAGATGCAGGGGGGGATGTTAGGTGTGCTTACTTAGATTTCTCCTCCATCTCAACTGCTATAGTGATGACGACATCTTTGGAGTATTTGGGGAAAATCACCTTTAAAAAAAAAAATATATATATATACATATATATACATACACACTACAAAATCCAGATTTCTTGTTTAATTCTTGTTGGTCCATGAACTTGCAAGCTGTCGACTCCTTTTGCCCTTGATATTTTTAGAGCTCATGTGTGATACAAGGTAGCCTGCTGAAGGAGAAACATCATGTAAAATGATGGGAATGAGGCTGTGTGCTTAAAATAACTTTATTTTGGGAAGTAGGAGGCCTTTAAGTTGAGAGGAGACAAAGCTCAGGTTTGTATCTCTTGTAAACCCAGGCTTCTCTCTCTTATTTCAAAGATTGCAAATAGAATCAGATGGAAGGTAGTGAGCGGTGTACCTCAGGTACACTGGAGTTGCTTCACTTTGGCATTAGCTGAGAAAGCATCATCCCTTATACTGTATTGGTAGAAACTGGAATCTTCTTTTCTACAACTTAGAATTATTGGTGAGGTGATTTGAATGCTCTTTTAGTTGATATGGTGCAGGGTAAGAGTGAAAAAGGTACAAGGAAGATAACAGGCCTGGGTGAATGATGGAGTAAAGGCCGCTTCCAAAAAGTTAACTGGTAGTGATTGGATGAAGTTTTATGACTTACCCACAGCTGCTTCAGTTAGCACAGCATTGGTTTAATTCATTTGAAGTATTGCCAGAGGAGTTATGAGAAGTTAACACAAGTGCTTTCAGTGTTCCTTGGCATCCAACTGGGAGGGCCCTGTAATCCTCAGGAAATGGTCCTGCAGCCTGCTAGGAGTCTGGGCAATGCGTGCACATCAGGTGGAGCACTGCTGTCCCTCACCTAAGTGCCTGTTTGCAGCTGTGTGTAGGAGCTCCATGTGCTGCAAAGACAGTAGAGATGTGTGAGCAGAGGGGTTGTTTCTTTGCTCCCCATACTGTTTGAAACTTCTATCATCTGAACAAGAATCAGTTAGTACTAGTAGGTTCTAAAACCAAACAACTGAGGTGAGACTGCTGCTAGGGACTGATGACTTGCTTTGGGAATGGCTAATTTGGAGATACCTGTTCGTAATAGCTTAATAGGAGTGACTTTTTAAGTTTTTCTCTACAGCACTTTTATCACCTGTATCTGATATGTACCTTCAGGATTTTTAGTAAATATTTTGATTCTTAAGCTTGTTGTTGGCTATGAAGCATCCCTCCTGAGTGTCTGACCTAGTTTGAGGTGTCAAAGATGCACCAAAGTGGGGTGCATACAGAGGCTTTGGTAAGCTTCTGTTGAGTATGAATGGAGAAACTTCCCATAGAGGCTTTTTAAGAAAGGAGGGATTCCTTCTTTTGTTGACCCAAGTGGATAGCTACAAGGTGCTTGTACTTGGCTTTTCAGATAGAGAGAGTAAATGACTTTGTAGTAGGCTTCCAGATATCTTAACAGTGATGATAAAACTAGTCAGCCGTTCTGTGTTTCGCCTTTTACTGCTCGGAACGGTACTTCTGAAAGGTATGGTAGGATATTCAGCCCAAAATAAACTTTCAGTTTGTAAAAACAAAGAGATAAAGAACAGGCAAGAAATCATAACACTTAATAGTTTTTACTGAGCCCTCTTTAAAACCAGTTAGTCCTGTATATTTTTCTAGTAGATGAACCAAAGTCCGTCGTGTCTTGTAAGATTCTTTCTGAAGGTATCAATCTACAAGTTCTTTCCAGTTTGAGTGATTAGATTTACTGGAAAAGTATTGATTTCATTTGCAAGTGCACCAGTATGTGACTAGCCCTAGAATATGGTCATGTTTTGATGCTGATATGCAGTGAAGATGTAAACTAGTGTAACAACAATGTTTTGTTACTTACACCACACCCTCAGAAATGGGTCTGATAGCCTTGGTTGTACGTATGTGAGAGAAACATTATACTCATAAGCTTTATATGTAATAAAAATCTTGGTTCTGACAAAGTTAAATTCATGTGGGAAAACAAAAACCAAACAAATGTTTTGTTCCTGTTCTCAATGCTATTCTTTCTCTTAAGAATGGATGAAGCTTACAGTTCTTTCTCCCCATGTCCTTTAATCGGCCAAAACCAGAAAGCAGTGAGACAGCACTGTTGGTTTTGCTCATTCTGCTCTGGTAGGTGAGAAAAAAAATCAAAGATTGGACAAATGAGGAACTTCAGCTGGTAATTGAATGAGTGGAATACTCATTGTGAGTTTTGTTTGGAGACACAGCACTGGGAGAAAGGTATGTAACAAATGTTCCTAAAAAGGGGGAAAGGGAATTAATGGTTTCTGATCGCTAGTGTTGATTTGATGGAATGTAGTAGTGTTTATATATAGCTGAAATGCAAATTTGAATTTAAGAAGAGTGACCGTCCCTCTGCTTCTCAGTGACCATCCATGTCTTACAGAACATCACATCTGAACCTGTGTTTCAGAAGCAAACCCAAATGCCCAAAAATCTCATCTGGAGTTAAATTGATATAGAAAGAACTCTAAAAACTTTGGTTTGGACTGGCAGAATTCCACTGATTGGGGAGCAGAACTGTAGCCAGTAGATTCTGTTGCACTGGAATCGTTCTGTTTCCAGTAAGTATTTAGAGCAAGAGCATATTTGATTTTTAGAAACTACTTTCTCAATACGTGATGAGCATAAGTAACAAAAATAGAAGCAACTTAAGCAATCAGCTCTGTGTGACCATGAGCAAGCTCTGAGACTTTGACTCAATTTATCCTTCTATAAAAATGAGTTGACTAATTCACAAGAATGTTGTGATGTTTAATTAAGTATAATTGTTTTGCGTTTGAACTCACCTACATCTTGATTCAATGCACACAGAAGTCAGTGAGGAGCTTTTAATTAATTTCTTTGAGTTTTAACAAAGTGTTCATGTACACACACCCAGGTACACTTGAAGGAAATGTGACCTAAATCTTTGCAGCAGAGTTTCCGTAGAGTGAGAGTGTAAAGGCTGAAGCAACTTGAAGTAAATTACCAACGGAGGCCTTTTGTACAACTGGGAGGGGAATGGTGCAGTTCCATTGCTCTCTGACATCTGCTGCTATAATAATTGAATTGAGATTGTTTGTGCTGTGTTTTACATGGGATGTTGATGATGATTTCATTGTGTCTTGGTGGCTTGCTCAGTTGGTCCTGGAGGGTAATATCAGGCTTGAAGATAAATGTGGGAAGTGGATGTTGATGCAGAAATGATCAGCAATAATGCACTTAAAATATAATTAACTATAGGAATTGATGCCAAATGGAGAAAAGTAGGAGCATTCACATCAGCTTAGCTGCTTTTTTGGCAGGAATGCATGTAGATGCCAAATAATACTCGTTGGTTTATGTGGAATTTGGGAAAGTGTTTGCTTAACTCCACAGGTCAGAAGTGCCATTTTTTTTTAAGAGAGATTTTACCACTGCATATTGGTCAGCAGCTACAGATGGCTGCAGAACGGATCTTTCACAGATCACATACAGCTTTTTGCAGAACTTTTCTCACATTTTACTGCCATGATTCTTAGGTCACTGGTTTCTACAAAAGATACTTTAATCCTTAAATAAAATTCTTTGTGTAATAATACATATGTGTGAAGAAATAGTTTTGGCACTTTGCTTTTAATACATCCATTTCATTTTCTAAGCAGCTGCAATTTTTGACATAAGTGCCACAAGCTCCTTGCTTCTGTTGATGCTAATAAGGATGCACTGTGATTGCACTAACAGCTTGGAAAGGGCAGAAATCTGTCTTGACCTGCAGTGATTCCTTTTGCCCTATTCTGTCATCTTCTGCCTTTTGCATACAGTGTGCTCCTCTGGAAGCTCTGGCAAGTGTGAAATCTCACACTCAGTTTTTCACTTGGAGAAGAATCTGCCTGGTCTTTAGTGTTGTTTTTAATGGTCCCTGAGCTAACACCTTCTGTTAGTATTCATATAATTGGAGTTGGATTAGTCACAGTAAGTTTTATTGCATGTGTGATGCCTGTATTCTTGCTAGAAGGGAATTTCTGTGTCTCCTTACATGTATGATACTGTGAAACCATCAGTGTTAGGTGC